CAGGGCATACATGGAACGCCATAACCAAGTGGGTGGCATAGTGTACAGAAACCTCTGTGTTGAGTACAAGCTAGAAGTCCCAAAGTCAAAATGGGATACACCTCCAAAGGTGGTTGAGAATGACCAAGCTAAGATCCTGTGGGACTTCCAGATACAAACTGACAAACTGGTAATGGCCAACCAACCAGACATAGCAGTGGTGGACAAACAGAAGAAGGAGGCTGTAGTGATAGATGTAGCAATCCCAAGCGATAGCAACATCAGGAAGAAGGAACACGAGAAGCTCGAGAAATACCAAGGGCTGAAAGAAGAGCTAGAAAAGATGTGGAAGGTGAAGGCACAAGTGGTCCCTGTGGTAATAGGAACATTGGGGGCTGTGACCCCCAAACTGGGAGAGTGGCTCCAACAGATCCCAGGAACAACATCTGAGATCTCTGTCCAGAAGAGTGCAGTCCTAGGAACAGCTAAGACAGTCTGCAGGACCCTCAAGCTCCCAGGCCACTGGTAGAGGACCCGAGCTTGAAGGAAAGAATACAAGACTGCTCCGAGTGGGGAATTTATATGGAATATATATATATATATATATATATATGTATATGTATATATGTATATATATAGAGAGAGAGATAAAGACAGAGACAGAAAGACAGTAATTTTTCAGCTTGGTCATTTGTTTGCAATTAAGGCCAGGGCATGAGATATGAGTTCAGGGTTCATGAGAGTTCATGGGTGTCACAATTAGCTCTACTTAATCATCTCTCTGAATTTCACAACATGGTAAATCCTACAAGGAAACCCTGAAAATTCCCTTCCCGTGGGGAAACCGAGCACTAGAATACTATGTACGAAGTAAAACAGAACACTGGAAAACACACATAGTGGTTCTCAGCATGCACATGGCTTTGGCTTGTGGCAAGTGCAGGTGGAGAAACCGGGAAGGGTGAATTCCACAGCATAACCATAAACTGCAGTGACTGTAAGTGTATGCGATAACATGGTACGAGGCAAGGAGGAAACCAAACACTTCCTCTTTCATTCTTTTCCATGTTACCGTTATCAGAAGGGTGAGGCAGGGAAATGTGCTCTACATGCTGTGACTGTTAGGGCAGAAGTCCCCTGTCACACATCTATTCTGCATTTATCTTTCATCACTCACTGATGCTAATACTGCTTTCATATATAAAACAGAACTGACACATTAAAAAAAATCTTTCTGTGGATTAGATGGCTCCCACATGTGAAAAAAGACATCATTTTCTATGTTTAGCAATCTGCATTTGTAAAAGTTGTCTGTGCAGATGTGTGCGCATGCATATGTGAATGCATACTTTAATAGACGTACCTGACGAAGGTTGTTGTAGATATCAAGGCTTCTGTGAGCCAGCAGCAGGAGATGGATCAGTTTGCAGACAATATCCGACTCCCCCTGTACCACAGCTATATGGAGGGCTCTGTAATGAATATTAAAAAACAAAAACAACTTAATTTCAAAGGGAATTTATGTAGGTTACGGTTCTCTCAAGGTGGCACATCAGTGCGGTGATTAGCACTGTCACCTCACAGCAAGAAGATTCCGAGTTTGAGCCCAGGCCAACCCAGGGCCTTTCTGTGCAGTTTGCATGTTTCCTTGTGCTTGTGTGGGTTCTTTCTAGGTACTCCAGCTTCCTCCCACAGTCCAAAGACATGGAGCTTAGGTTGATTGGCAACTCTAAAATTGCTCGTAGGAGTGAATGTAAATGTATGTGGCTGTTTGTTTACATGTCAGCCCTGTGATAGACTGGCGACCTGTCCAGGGTGTACCCTGCCTCTCGCTGACTGTCAGCTGGTATTGGTTCCAGCGCCCCGGTGACCCTATTTCAGAATAAGCAGTTTAGATAATGGATGGATGGACACATTCTCTTGACATTGTGACCAAGTAACAGCATATGTGTTCAATTTTAATGCATATGCTGTATTGATATAGATACTATAAAGTAATGTGTGTGCAAAATGAATTTCAAATTCAGCAATCTCCATAATGACATGGCATTTAATTTCAGCAGTATTTGGTCATGTGATTATGAGGATATCCTGCATGACTGATGGGAATTGGAATTTGGTTCAAAAGTTGCATCTGAAATAGTGAGCTAGAAATCACTTCCCTACATGGTGGAAATGAAGTCACTCAAAAAGTTAACTTTAGGCAATGTGTTTATTTGCTATATTTCTAAGTGTCAGATGAGAGGAATAATGCTACTCACATATTTGTCCATCAAATATAAAGCTTCATCCAACAGCTAGTTAGCTTTGCTTGAAGTGAGCCAAGGTAGTAGTTAACAAAAGCCACCCGCCAACTATACCAACACCTATAAAGCTGACTTTATATCGTGTTGATGAACAACAGTGAACAACAGGTTGTGGTTTTATGGAGACATTGCCTGGGACCTCTTGAAGTCTCAGCTGAGCAAAGCTAACCAGCTGTCAAACTATTATTTTAAATTGTCTACATGTATATCACTTTTTTTGGGATGAAAGGTCATACATTCACATTCCCTTCATAAATGGAACCCATGAAGGTCTTTTGTGATCAGGCACAGCCAATTCCACTTGATCTAAATGATCCTAGTGACAGTTGTACCAGGGAGCTCTGCAGATGTACAGGCATGACTCAGAATACTCTTATCACACTGTTATCTAGACTAAAGGGGAAACCACTATCTGTGGTCTCTACCTGAAGCGAAAGAACAAACCCAGGCCAAAGTTTAGGACATGGAAGGCCAGGAAACGATGCGGAGGGAGGGCATACTTTAGAAAACCATATTGCAGTCTTCACATATTTCTTTATCATGCTGACAGAATAAGCAGCTTCCAGTAAGAGCCAGACTGTCACTTCCTGTTGTCACTAACAATGGCAGCATTTTTGCTCCTCTATCTCATTCTGTGTGCTGTGAAATCCAGCCATTAAGTTGCATGATTTTTTTGACAGGGGCTTTCTGTAGGTTCACTCAGTCAACTTCATCAAGTGGATAAGTCATAATCAGACATATGGTGCTATCGTGCAACAGGAAACAAGGATGCTTCTTCAGAATTAGTTAAAAGTACTTTTTCATAGAGTTTGAGGTCAGAAAAGAAGTTCTCACAGTGACAAAATCGGTTGCAGCACTTCCTCTCAGTGATGTGTCGCACTGACATAGACTCCTTAACAAAGGTAAATTCCTGTCTGAAAAAAATATAGATTAAAGATGTCTGGGAAATAACTTTCATGTATAGTGCTAATTTATACATTTGCACAAAACAACTACACTTTCCTGCACATTTGATCAAAACGACTGTGTGGTTCAAATTCTTCACATTAGCATCTATCTATCTGATTATGGTTTTAGTAGTATCACATTAGTCTAATAATGTATTAGTCTAATAACTGTGTGAACATTTAAATTCTTTGACAACGTTTACTTGGTGGATGCAAGAAAAATAAAAGAAAGTTATACTCTGCGTTGTTTGTGCATATAGTTAAACAAACAAAATATTAAATAAAAATAACAATAAAAAAGAAAAGAAAGAAATTCAAATGTTGGATAAATTCTGTGTGCATGTATACATACAGTACATGCATAATTCCTGTACATGCAAGAGCAAGAGCAGGTTGGAACTGCAGCTGCAATAAACTATCAGATGATTTGCTCCTGGCTTCAGAGTGAAAAGCAGAACTTTGTGTTTTGGAATGGGAGTGAGCATGGAGGTCCTTTCCTCAGTCCCTGTTCCTGTAACTGAGCTAAGCACAAAGAACAAATCCATATCAATCAAGATCTCTGGTCATATTTATTGGCCATTCTATCAGCTACCACTCATTTGCCTTAAAAAGCCCCTGCAGTCTCTTAACAACAAATTCCACAGTGACTGGAGAGACCAATCATGGTAAAGTTTATCCACAGTCAAATATAGTTACAGGCTGTTCAGATATGACTTAACTAGGGCTGTGTCAATGTGCACCCTTGGTAAAGTGTTATGAAATCTGGCAGTCATACACTTTAAAGAACAGAAAGTCCAATACTATCTGTGCCACTGTGGCTAAGAGTATATCTAAACTCTCAGAGAACTGAGTTTGAGATTAATGAACATAATCAGTTCACACAGACTTAAAGTCATTCTCTGTCTTTTTTAAATTCTTTTCAATCTTCATCAATCGCTCACTCTCTTTTTCTCTTAAGATGAAACTATACTGTTTCTAGTTCCTGGAAGTGGGGCAGACCACAACCCCAAGCACAGCAGCACTGACGCAGACAGGAGTCCCAAGCTCGCCACATTGATTCAGTCAGTCCCAGTCTAAGTGTGTGTGAAGAGAGAGAGAATATAAACAAAAAAAAAGCAGAGAGAGAAGACAACATAGGTGCGGTATCCTGTTTGGTATGGAGGGTGAAGGTGCAGCCAATGTGACTGATCAGACTAAAGCCTAACATATCCTGTGGTCTGTGGACCAGCTGAGTAATGAGGTGATGTGTCAGTGTGTGTGAAAATAGTAAACAAAAGAGAAGCAGCAGCACACTGCAGTCCGGTTAACAAGAAATGATGGCTTACACCCATTGTATAGTCTGCTGTGCTCATCATGAAGAATGATGCTACTTCCAGACATTGCTGAGTTGAAGGTATCTGTGAGGAAGCATGTCCGAGTAAAGAATTTACTGCTCTGTGGGATCTATTATTTTTTTCTCAGATCTTTTCTACATGCCTCATAGGAGTAGCAACTGAAAATGTCTAAATCCTTTATCATCATAGTATATTTTACAGTAATACACTTTTAATGCTGAGTCAGTCTGAGTGTTGATGAGTGGAATGTTTGAAGTAAAGTTTGCAATCACATAGTTAGTATTAACTAGTGTTAATTATCTCAGACTACAGTCAAATGGTGTTGGATGACTGTAAAACAATTGGTGGGAGGACTATGGACTCGGCTTGAATAACCTATAGTGACTTATTCACATCATTGACATAATTAGATTAATGTCCTGTACAATGTAACCTACAGATTATATTAGCACTTCAAACTAAAAGAATATGTTGATGAATTTACAAAGGGATGGATCCTAATGACAAACAACAACTACTACTATTACTTTTGGCTGTTCCCGTTAGGGGTCACCACAGCAAATCAACTGTTCACATGTATACATTTGGTAAGCATTTTACACCGGATGCCCTTCCTGATGCAGCCCAAATTGGGAATCCTAATGACAAGCAACACCAGCTTGTAAAGCGTTAGCTTAATCGTTTTTAAATAAATGTCTTTGAAGACATTCATGGTCCTCAGACAATGTACCCTAAAGGCCTTGAAGATGACCTGACTTTTCTTCTAGTGCCACCAAGAGATTTATGGCTTTGGATGAAATGTCTCCACAACTATTGAATGAACTGTTACGAAATTCCATGTGCATGTTCGTAACTTTTCATCATTCTATTTGTCCACTATTTTGGTTTATGAACAAATATCTAAAACTACATTTCCATCAACAGTACCTTGTGTTCACTGCTAATTAGCAAATGCTAGCATGCAACATGCTAAATAAAGATGGTGAAAATAGTAAACATTACTTGCTACAGATGCTACCATGTTACCAACTTTACCTTTTAGTTCAAAGAACCATGGTGCCTAACTACGACCTTCCAGAGCTGCTAGTGTGGCTGTAGAGTGTTAGCCATGCTTTTGTATTTGTGTTTTTTTTAAGATGGCACCGCGTGAGTGGCAGCAAGTTCCAGCAGCTCTGTAGTCTTATGTGTTTTTTTTCCGTGTTTCCTGAAGTTTTCTGTGTTTGCTTTTGTGTTATATTTCTCTTCCGTAGGCCTTTGTGGAGTTGGGCTACTAGGAGTACAAGTTTTATTGTGTTTGCATTATGTTTTATACTTTTTTGCGAGCTTTTTGAATCTGCCTCTTGTGTCGTGGCTCCATTGTTTATTCTCGGGATCTGCTGCTTGCCCTCAACCATGTCCTGCTTCCTAATGGTGAGTAGCTGGAGACTCCCATGGAGATACAATGAAAAAGGCAAGGCTGTAGAGTTGGCATAAAGCGCCGGGAGAGGAAACGAAGATATGAGCCACGTTTACCATCTGTTGCTATGGAAAACACCCGCTCCCCTCCTAACAAGATGGACGAGCCAACCCCGCTAACGGAACTGTAACGGGCATACAGGAAGATCAGTCTTCAGTGTTTCACCAACACTCCTGATTCTGTGGTCTGTGGTGAAAGTTTACACTAATCCCTCAGCCAACGCTACTGCTGCGTACAAGTGCGCGCAAAGCATGGTGTCTCGGCTGCAAACACAACACCCACAGGCTCTAATCCTCATCTCGGGGGAGTTTAACCATGCCTCCCTCCCCCTCTCTGCCACCCTACCAATATTCTTGTTCCTGATTTCTCTCAAGTGCTACGTTTTGTCTTGTTTTTTAGGTATCTTTGATTTGCTTCTCGGAGATCCTTATGGTGTTTGTTGTTATTATGGTGTTTTGTTGTTTGCTCTCTTTTGCTGCCGGAACACTGTAATTTCCCCATTGTGGGATCAATAAAGTCTTAAATTTTCTTTTCAGAAACAAAAAGATGTGCATGTGCAGAATCAAAACACCATAAAAAGTTCTGAGTCCACATGGTCATACACACAGTATCTACAAGTCTGCAAGTACACTAATGACTCAGTAAGTGTTTGCCTGACAACTTCAATAAGTATTACCAACCTCTGCATATGTTATTGTGCAGGTAAATCCAATGACTGACTGGAAGAGGGCATATGTTTGTAGGAGCTGTAAAAAAAATCAGCACATCTGCACCACATACACGAATGACAGTGTGGATAAGCAAATGACACAGAGAAGGTGAGAGAGAGAGAGAGAGCTGAAGCTGATAGCTGAAGAAAGCGGTAAATGAGGAAGTGAGGAGCGGATGTTTGGGTTGTTTGAGCCCATTCATTTAAAAACAGAAAAGAAAGAGAGAGACACAGACACCTGAAAAAACCGCAATCATGTATAAAGACTGAGCTCTGACTGGTTTTCCCGAAACTAAGGGTCTCATAAGCGCTGAGAACAGAGGACGAACATCCCATTGACGTAAGAGCCAAGCACAAGGGCACATGCATACACATACACACTCACGTACATACAGACAGTGTGAAAAAGGACCAGGGGGCTGATAATGTTTCTTTCTGCAGAATTCACACGAAGTTTCAAACAACCACAAAGCAACAAGTAGGTACTACACAAGCCAACCAAGGTCTCAGCTTCATTACAAAGGTATTACATTTTATGAAAAGGCTCCACACTGCAGCTTTGTTGCATTAAGTCATTACACATAAGATAGTTCACATTAGAATTTCTTATTGTTTTGTGTGTGTCCCACAAATTTAGATAACACACTTATAAGAAGCTCCAAAAAGGAATGTCAACCATTTATTGTAATAATACTGCAGGTCATAAGAAAAATAAAATCAGGTTGCCAGTGTTTGAGAAGCCACAAAATACACATTTTCAAGTATAAAAATTTCATTCATCTTATTTCCTTACAACTATATTTCAATAGCAGACATGGCAGTGATTAGAAGTCTGAAGTAGATAATCTGCAGCTGCAGCTGTGACATATCACATGACTTATGGCTCTGCTAACTGTTGGTCATCACGAGTTCACTTTGAATAGATGCAAATTATGCCGATACTTTTTGAAACCGCAACATCAAAGTGCCATTAAATTCTTGGACATATGTTTTCAGTCACATGACTGCATGTGTGATTGTGTGTGTGTGTGTGTGTGTGTTCTCGTATCGGTTTGTCATTTCAGTTAGTGTGTGGGTGGGTGGTGAACCTTTAGACAAGGTAAAGTAACCATGCATTGAAGTTTAATATTTGCATTCATGTGTTCTCAAAAAGTCCTCTAGTGTCCTGTATTGCCATTCCCAACACCCCACCCCCAAAAACAGCACTCCAAGAGAGTCGTCCATTGTATTTTAGGTTGTTGAACACACATGCGCTAACATACAGATACACGCAATGCCTACGTACAAAATCTCCAATGGTGCTTAGTGAATCATTCCTGATCCGCACTACAGCAGCTTCCCTCTAAGGAAGTGAAACAACTGTAAAGATTTTGGTTGCATATAAGGGGGGGAACTGTCTATACCTGTTCAATATGCAGAAACAGGAGAGTCACAAATCATATCAAAGAAAATGAGATGATATTACAGATGTCTCAAAACCACATCCAGGTTGTGCAACATCAAAAGTTTTGTTAAGGAGATCAGACAGTCACTTGCTGAGGTGAGCACTGTTTGGGGTCAGCACAGTGATTTATGTGACCATTTCAGTTTCATTCTTTATGACAACGGTAACCAATACTTCTGAGAATGTAGCTGAAGCAGTATAAGTGTCAGGCCTCTAGAAAGCAATAAAATAACTGCAGATTGCAGTTTGTTATTGGCTGGTAAGATGCCAGGATATGGACTGGAAGGCCACAGGCCTTTTCTATGCAAGACATTTTTAACATGTCACAGTAGGTGACAATTAGCCATCCCTGGTAGGCTAGTGGTTAAGGCGCAGCGCTCTCGCCACTGCGGCCCAGGTTCAAATCAAGGTTGTGTCAGGAAGGGCATCCAGCGTAAAACATGTGCCAAATGTCAACATGCAAGCTGTCAGTGTGACAATTCGCTGTGGCGACCCCTAAATGGGAAAAGCCGAAAGTGACTTTCTTTTACAGTAGGTGACATTTATTATTTACACAGCAGGCTAAAATAATAAACTCAGTGCTGGTTGAATTACATTTAACTGCGTTGATTTAAGGTCGTGGAATTGTACATGCATGTCTCACTGCCACATTGGCTTGAATTTCCTATTAAAATGCATCAAAATGCATCTGCTGTCAAAGAGGCCTATTGGTTGATGGAAAAGACGGATTAATAAACAAACATACCAGCTCCATAAATCAGCAAACATACATAAAAATTATATGTGAAAAAGATGAAATGCTGACATTACTCTTTGGGCTGAAATATCTATTTTATATCATATTACAAATTTCATATCATGTTTGAATGCTGCTTTGTATGTTCTGCTATTCACTCCCATCTCTTCAACCATCTCTTCAGTTACTGCTTGCCACCAAAGAGGGCATTAAAGTACAAAACATTATGTATTTCAATTTTAAGTAAAAGCATGACCTTTTAGAATAAATTGTAAACATTTTAGAACTTACACATCTCTGTTTTTGTATCTTTTAACCTTCTAAATGCATTTTAAACTGAGTTTAACTTTCATATTAGGCAAGTTTCCAACTGCTGAGTCACCACATCCAAGAAATTAGGAATGTTTTGCCTATTAAACTAAGCTATTAATCTCCAACTCATAATGTACAGTACAACACAAGGTCAAACCCTTGGCCTATCCAAGTCAAGATGTGAGCTGGGTCTGCTCAGTCTACACAAGATGACAAAGAATCCTCTCAATCTGCTGGAAATCTCATGAATATTTATGACTGCGGTCCGATGTCAAATCTGTGAACTATGCCAAGTTTCAACTGTCAACTCATCCGTCTGACTAAAATGAGGTGATTATGAAAATGCATGAGATGATGAATCATGGTAATCATTTATGTTTTACTGTATGAATCAGTGACTTGGATATGTGATGGATGGACATGTGTCACACGTTAAAAATGTGACACCCAAACTTCCAACCGAAGCCATTTCTCAGATTTTTAAAATATTAACATACGTGTCTCCGTCTTCATCTTGATGTGTAGCCAGAGTGATATCAGGCAGGTGTTCGGTTTGGTTGGCCAAAGGGTGGTTTGGCTCTGGGACTGGGGGCAAAAACACCTGGTACACTGGGTAATGACCTGAGCACGGAAGAAAGCAAAACATAGAGAAAGACATAATGAGACGCACAGAGAACGAAGAAATATTAAAAATGAAAATACAAATAAGATTTTTTTTTTTTAAGTGAAGACAGTGTCACTCAGAATGTACATCTGTGTATGCATACTATTCATGTACAGGTAAACCAGGTGAGCTGCTTTTGTCAGTGCAGGAGAGTGACTGAAGATAACTGCTGACTAGACATTTTCTCACTGATTCAGCAGTGGCTGCTGCATCAGCTGTGACTCTGAGGTATTTCCTTTTAGCTGTGACCCACTAGTGACCAAAAATATTGAAGGAGGGGAGAGTGTTGTGCTACTGTTAAAATAAAAACCGCATGAGCCTCATTCATATAACACCAAATAATAATTTAGAGAGCCCTTTTGTGCCATGCTCCGTCTTTGAAACCTGCATTATGTCTTTAAGTTTATCACCAGTGAACAAAATAAACACAGCTGCTGTATACCCATAACTCTCAACCAGCCTCATTACTTTGACCAAGCAAAATTAGCTACTGTCCAGGTTCCTTAAATAACAGAAAATGTGCAGCAAAGTTCTGAAATAATAGTTTCATATACAGTTGCCTGGTCTACAGTAAAATGTCGACTAAAAAGGTGTCGTACTGACCTAATTGACCAGTTGGAGTCGCTTACCGTAATTAAACGGGTGGAAAATGTGTCTGGGATATCCATGTAGAGTCTGTCCAGTGTCTCCAGTCCTCCTGAGAGTCACTGGTGCTACTCCGACCCTGCTTTCTTCCCTGGGTTTTTTCAAACGACCGGCCAAACTGTCCCGAAAGTCCCTATCTTCCACGGGGGAAAAGCGGTCGCCACTCTCAGCCGCAGCCGGTGACTGCCTTTGGGGCTCCGGCTCCACACGAATCCGGCGTTTCCTAAGAGGAAGCTTTAAGGAAGAAGCGTCCTCCGATCGCTTGCTTGCAACGCTGCTTTCTGAGCCCGGTACGTTTCTTATGGTGGGACTGTGTATTTCCAAACTGTCAGTCCCTGTGCAGGCTGGCGGTGCAGGTGAGCCGACTGTCACCCGAACGTCCCTGGTGCGACTTTTGCAGTCTGGAGTCCTGGACCCGGCGCACCCACGCTCTCGGTTAGTGGTGCGCAGATCCAGCGGTGCTGTGGCAACCGACTGGTGGTCACCATTCATGGTCATGATACTCGGCATCAACCGGAGGCGAGACGTTCACGGTCTAAGTTTCAGGTGTGTGCGACTGAAGCCAACTTCTCGACGCTCAGTGACAGTTTAGTGGGATCGGTCCATCCAAAGTATCCAGCAGTACGCAATTCCCATCTCCATTAGACTAAATGGGCAGCGATCAAATCATCACTGAGTTTCCATTTGTGCCACTTGTGTATTTTAGATAAGCGCTCAAAATTATGACTCAGAATGTAAATGTATTTTCGAAGAAGAGTTACTGTAGAGTTTGGGTGTCGATTAAGCGCACCTACGGTAACAACAGCAGGTAGGCTACAGTGCAGCTGCAGCACTGCTCATCTGCTCTTTAATGAACGTAATCGCACTGACACTGGTGCTTTCCCTTTTAAAACCGAAACAAGCGATTGTAGCACAGGGAGGTGAAGAGTTAAATACATAATAATTTCTGCATTTGTGACATCTGTTTTGCATGTTCAAAACATCTAACCTGAAGAATTTCTCAAGAAGTTTAAAAAGGAAAGACGGATCAGTGCTTTCGTCTGCTGCTGCACTTTGAGTCTGCAAAATGTGACAGGGGGTTAGGAAAGAGGGACTAGATCAGTGGTTTATGCTGTAGCTAGAAGCAGTGGAAGAAATCCTTAGGTAAAAATAGGTAAATACCTCAGTGTAAAACTACAGTTAGAAGTAAAATCCTGCATTCAAAATGCTACTTAAGTTAAACTGCAATGTATTAGCATCAAAATAGAGCTACTTTAAGTTCCAAAAGTGAAAGTACTCATTTATTGATGCATTTTTGTGTTTATAACTTGACTGTTGCAGCTGGCAAGGGGTGAGCCGGTTTTAACTACCTTGTATACTTTTGTTGGGTAGCTTGTAAATTCACCACCAGTGGTCAATAAAGTTTTAGGATTACACAGAATTTTGTCATTCTGACTTTGAAAAGTAACTAGTAACGAACGTTATCAACTAATTGTAGTGAACTAAAAAGCATAATATTTGCCTATATAAATGAAGTAAAGAGAAAGTATGAAGTTGCAGAAAAGGGAAATACTCAAGTAAAATACATTACCTCAAGTACTGTACTTAAGTACAGTACTTGAGTAAATGTACTACCACCACTGGTAGCTGTACCTCAACTGTGCTTTATTGCATGATTATCTTTTCTAAAATATAGCTTACAGTAATGCAAACTCTATTTCTTTCCTTGTTGCAAAAGCCCAACAGACTGTCCCACTTTGAAGACAAAAGCACAATAAGGAAACATTGACTTTAACATTCAACTGTATTTATGACATTTTAATATGTTAATGTCAGATTAGTGTAAAAACAAAAAGAGGGAAACAAAAACAGACTTTGAGAGGTAAACTTCCTTTCTGAACATTTCTGTACTCTCTTACTGATGTCATGGAAAGGATTTTTATGTTGTTTTGATCACATGCAGAGCCTCATGTCAGAGATAATGTTGATTTTCACACTTCAGTTCAAAAAGTTATACGATCTTCCCCTTTTTCTGATCACATTACAGTACAGAGCAGGCAATCTTGTATATTACAACAGATTGCACTCACAAATAAGCAAGATATGGAAGCTCAAGTACGCCTAATGCTTAATTGTAGGTTGATTAGCAATCTGCTTTTGTATGGAGGATGCAGATTTTGCAAGTTGCAGTCCATCAGATGCACACATCTGTTGCCTTAGTTGGTGGTGTGTTGCCAGGTCGTAGACTCAGAGCTGAATTTGCACTCCCTTCAGGAGGAAGAATACAGGAGGTATTCAGAGAGCAGATGCCCTGTTCAAACTGACTGACTGATCAGTCGATATCATGTCACTGCTCTCCTGCATGTGGCCATGTTACCTGAGCACTTATACAAATAATAAATGCATATACGTACACAAGCCCACGCATGTACACACAAATCACACCTCATCTCCTCGTTGTCAGTTATTTTACATAACCCTCAGAACAGGGTCTAATTACCAGGGTCAATTTGGGACTTTCCTCTTTCCACTGAAGTGTGGAGTGGGCAACAGAAAGTCGGGCTGGGTGTCTAAAGTCCCTAAAACATCCTGACACTACACAAACATTCTTTGCAGCTGTCAGGGCACTCAACCATTATGGTCTCCTCAGGCATAAGGTATCATTGACACTGGCCTACCTCTCTCACAGTCAGTGTGACCCTAATTCTACAGTTAACAGAGCTTACTGCTGAGTGAATCTGACACCAGCTGAAGTTTACTGATCTTCAACAGCATGCACAATATGTAAACAGAAAAAAAATCCCATACACATTTAATATTTACAGTATGGGGTCAGACAGTAATCTGAGACAGTGCTATTATGGCAGTGCATGTTGAAAGCAGAGTGAACATCAGTCAAATCACAAGCTATTACATCCAGATACAAAACGATGAAATGACTCCCCCTTGTGCCAGGAGAGCAAAGGTGCAACTACATTCTTGAAAAATAATCAAAAGTCAAAGCATTTTGACATACAAATCCAAAGAATACTGTACATTTACATTTACATATCATTTAGGCTTCAAAACTTGTGGAATGCCTTTAGTTTTGAAGATATTTAGTCATAAGTATTGGACATATAAAATATTTTCCTTTGCCTACCTTAAGGTCCATGTCAGAAACCATGAACAGAGAATCAGTAGGAAAAAAATGTTACACACAGACTTCCAGAGTCAGTGGAGGAAGTATTACAACTGTAATAGATGTATTAACATGTACAAGAACCACTTTAATATTGTAGTCAACTGCAGTAGAACTCATCTAATTTTATATACTTTGAAAAGAGCAGTTAGAGGCGTCACCTTTGACGTACTGCTGTTTCCTCTTTCTGTGGTAACCATATTCATTTCCTGTTTTCTGTGCCTGAACCGCGTTGTGCTTGCTTCCAGACTGAATTACATTCAGTATTTTCTAGGTTCATTTTAATTTTTGAGTGACAACATACGCCTGCACCACTTAAGCATTTGTGTTGCAGAAGCTCTTGCTAATTACGAAATTTAATTTGCTACTTTAGGTCAGCTAGCTAAGCTAGTAGCTTAATTGAGAGCAATGGCTTCCCCGTTTCTCTCCTCCTTTGTCTTGCTCGGAGTGTTGCACGTTCATTTATTTTCTGAACTCCTTTAGCGATAATGGTACTTGTAATAAATGTCAGATTCTACCCTCTCCTCACTGTCCTGGTATCAACCAGTAGTGACTCCTCTGCAGGGGCGTATCAAGCTTTTTAAAAGTGTGGGGGATGAGGTTTGTCTGGGGTGGGGGTATCTGAGCAAGACTGAAGCTGAATGCAACCAAATGTGTCACACAAATGTGACATAATAGCGTTTACCTACCTCTAAATAGAGTTTATGCACCAAATTCAACCAGGACCAGGATATTCAATATCCTGCTTATTATCATTATCAGCACAACAGTTATAGCTTAGTGTTTCTGAATGACACTGCATTGTCTACATTTTATGCCCAACTCTGATCAACACTGTAAGAGCCATTTATGCCACTCACTCATATTGTTACCCACCTTTTTTTTTCAGCACACCCCTGATTCTTAAGTTGAAGAAATAAATTTTCTGTATTAGGTTATTCTGAAGAAAAAGGTCAGCTACTAATTGATCCACAATCATTTTTCTGTTCACCCTATCCAGCTTGTCTTTATGTACACGGCACACAGCAACACTGTTGAGGCGGGGTTGGGGGCTGGTGGTCCTGAACATTAAACACTGGATATATGAACATTTGAACCTTCACTCAGTACAATTAAAAGAACCAAAAGTACTCTGTTTTCCTTAAAAGAGACAAATTGATCCACAATCATTTTTCTGTTCACCCTATCCAGCTTGTCTTTATGTACACGGCACACAGCAACACTGTTGAGGCGGGTTTGGGTCATGGTGCTCACCTTCATCCTAATCAAAACATTTAAAAGGAAACTGTGGAATTTTATATCCATCCACCAGAAACACACCGAGACACCCACAATTTGCCTCTCTTCCTTAAATATATCTCTTTCAAAAACTGTAACTTCACATAAACATTACGAGGCATTTGAATCCTAAATGTGTGTCTGTTTGCTGTGAACCTCCCTTTGCTCCCTCTGACACAACTGAGGTCTCTGGCAACTGACTATCCTACAAAAGCAGGATGCAGTGATAAAGAATAAGACTTAATTTTCAGCCTCAAAATTAGCCTCCCTTAATTAATGCCCACCTACAGAACATTAAGAAATCACTTACAATAGATATTTTGAAAAAGGTGTCAATCTTCTGCTGCCCTTTCTGCATCTTAATACTGAGTGGCAAAAAGACAGTGGTAAGTGGTAGCTAGGTCAGACAGGAATGACACTTCTTAAAACATAGCCTAATTGCGCTAGCATCATACAGCTCCCTATCTAACTTTGCTAACAATGTAATACTAGCTGCTGAGGTGGTGAACAAGGTACATGATGGATATTAAGTATTTATCAGCAGATATTCCATTATGACAGCGGGTTTGGCTTCACTAATTTACTGTGACACAGTGTTCTTCACATTTACTGCCTGACATTCTGACTGCCCCATAACGGTTATTTCTCTACAATGTCTCCTTAGCTGTCTCCAGTCGTCCTGAATGCTAGCGTAGTGATATGTGTTCGCCTCTTCACTCGCTAACTGGTGGACTTGGTGTGATTGCCAGTAATCATTTCTGATTTCATTATAAAAAACTGTCCTCCATTTTCCATGAAACGCACACAGAGGTCCTCCACACCACAAAAGGTATGTGAATGCATAGTTTTCATTGAAAGGTGATGGAGTCCTCATCTTAAACCCCATGAAGTCTTCTAAAATCATATGATTTATTAGGGTTTCCTTAGTCTTGCTGGGTAAGGGTCACCCCATTTCAGTGCATCACCTACAGAGAGAGAAGGAATGATTACTCAAAATAAACAAACAAAAACAATATTTTATACCATAAATATATGTATACTGTATGTCAGTGTGGATATGTGTGCATACAACATGTACAAACCCTTTAAATCCTCAATACATCCTGCATGTTGTATTAGATAAAAAGGAATAAAAACAAGTTTTACTTATGAGAAGGAAGGCTGAAGTAAACAACTGAAAGGAAAGGAAGACAAATAGTTGTCACAGCTGTAAATGCTAAAATTATAGCCTGTTGTTACTCCCCCAGATTGATAAATCGGTCTCTTGTAACACTGTGTTTATATTTCACTTCAATGATTTCCTATCACTTCTCCCCTACATCACCATGCCACAGTCATAGTATCATGACACTAGCTCTGAGCCTTGCTAGCTTCAGATTTTGCAATACTGCAACTGGAATTCATTCAAACAGACAGTGCTGTCACTCACACCAGAATTTAAAAAATATAAAATGAAAATCCAATAACTAGATACATTTTTCTGTGCAGCTTTTTCACTACTAATGCTTTTCTTCAGTACCACTACAATTCTATTCAGTACAAGTGTTTCAGTGCCAGTGTTCCTCTTTTCAGTTCAGGCTTTGTTTTCAATGCCAAATTTTATTTTCAGAGCCAAAATTTAAAGCTATTGTCCAGACTATCAAGCTCTTTTAAACCTATGAACTAAAGACACCTATCAAGCAAGTGATTGATATACAAAGAATTCCTTTAAAAGGTAATCTAGATAAATTGTTTCATTGTGATCTCTCACCTTCCATTCTTTTATAAATAAGGAATGCATTTAAAAAGAAGAGGATGACAGCAATAACTAACCAGTGCAATGATGATGAGGATGGCTACGCGACCTGTGAAAGCAGGTTAGAACAGAAGCATACATCACTCATTGATTCATACACATATTCTTCTTGTAGTTATAAACTATTTCCATTTGTTAAGTCAGTAAATCATAAAATATGATCCCCTGGTTAAAAATCAATCATATTTATGGTATACAGTACAGTGATCGGATATTCGGTGCTTTCCTTGCAGCTATAGTTCTATTCAACTTTAAATTGTTCTAAATCTTATTGACCATAACAAACAACCATTGCTAGGTCTGTAAACTTTATTTCTTAATGTGAATATTTCTGCTTGTCTTTGAAATGTCAGCCATGACCTAAGTGTTCTCAATAGCATTTATTCCCTTTTTAATGTTTTGGTTGACTAGTCATAGGCACCAATACAAACACTGCAACTAAACTTGTATGTGTACTTACATAGATGTCTTATAATTATCTACACAGCTGTTTGCTGATTATTTTGTTATATGTCTACAGTGAAATGTATTTTTGTGAACACCACTGGTTGTCAGGGGATGTCCCCTTACACTTAATAACAAAGAAGTGTACAAACCTACAACAGCAATTTTTATATATTTTAATTTATTCACTATTAACTTACGTGTTATGGGTTGACCAACTTGACCTGTAAAGTCAAAAACACATTGTTAATCCATATATTTTGCACTGAACTAACACTGAAAAACACAAAAAGTGAGAAAAAAGATTCTGTACAATAGAAACCATGTTTTAATTTAACAGTGAAAATAAAGTTATGCTGCTGACAGGGGCTGATAGATCAGCTTGTCACCAGTGGCAAATGATGTATTTCATCATTAATAAAACAAAAAATTATAAAAAAAAATCACTTTCTAAAATACCTTGTGATAATATTATATATTACAGTATACACTGTGTCTTTACAAAAATATGTTTTCATTACAATATGTTCTAGAAATCTATAAACAAGGCTAATTTACAGTCATGCTAGTGACTGTGAGGCTTAAGCATGGTGGTGCTTTGAACTAATAATTAACTCTAATTAAATTTATTAAGTGAAAATTTCTATCTTAATTTAGTGTGTTAACGTAGTAACAGTTGCCAGCTGGGGACCATGAATGTCTGTACAATGCTACATGGCTCTCCATCCCATAGTTTTTGACATATTTCAGAGAGGATCAAAATGGTGGGCTGACCAACAGACTGATACTCCTATCCACAAATATATTATACTAGTATGACTAAAAAAATGAATACATTCTTTAATTCTTTAAATTAAGTAGGCCCACATCTGAGAAATTAAATAGTCTAAAAGAAAAGACAAGTAAAGAAAAGAAATAATTCTAGTTTTTAGAAGCCACAATACATTTTGTCACAATATCCCAAATGAGTCACTCCATTTCTATCAAATACACCTATACCTGTTCTTATATAGTTCTCTTTTACATTAGCATACTACAGCTATTATTATAATCTGAGCCTTACACTGCTTACTATTGGTTGGTGCAAACAAAAGTAAGAAAAGTAGGAAAAGTAGGAATGAAAGCTTGTTTTACAAACTCAATCAAGGCATGAATTCAAGCTCTAAAATCAAGTTACTGAAAAAGAGAAATACAGACACTGTGAACTTTTCCCCCTCACCATTAGCAGGTCAGAGCGTGGTCAATCCAATGTCAATGATGAGACCAAACGTTAAAACGAGCACAGCAACAATGATAGGTGTAGTGATCAGGTCAGGACTTGAGTTGAGGTGGCTCGAGCACCTGTTTAGGATGCCCCCTCTACGCCTCCCTGGGGAGGTATTCTGGGCATGTCCCTTCGGGAGAAGGCTTTGGGGCAGACCCAGGACATATTGGAGAGACTATGTCTCCTGGCTGGCCTGGGAACGCCTTGGGGTTCATCCTGAAGAGCTAGAGGAGGTGTGCGGAGAGGGAAGTCTGGGAGGCTCCGCTGAGGCCACTGCCTGTGCGACCAGGTCTCGGTTGAAGCGGATGAAGATGGATGGATGGATGGAGCATAAAACTAAAATACTCCAGTAGCGTAAACAGAATTGTACTTACTTACAGTAGATGAGTAAATGTACTTTTCAGCACTGAAGATAACTCCAGACCCAGGCACACAAGAAACTCATGTTAGCATGAAATTTTATTTTGAAAAATTCGTTTTTAAAATATTCATAACCATATTTCACTAAGACTTTTTTCTTAATGTGTTTCATTCCAAACTGAAGTACATCTTACTTAGATAAAAGGATAATACAAATCATTTATCCAGTGCTTCATCCATTCATCAGTAACTACATCCTGTCCCATTATCAACTCTAATCACTCCTTTGACAAAAAATGTCAACATTTACTGGGTCCAGCCTATTGAATTTGAGAATTTGTTTCTTATATCTATTGCATCACCATTAATTCTATATATTAACATTAAATCAACATTAAACACAAAGTGAGGTGGATGGGAATGTCATTACTTTTTCAGGTTGTTTGATCATAAACGAAAACTTTGACCTGATGATGGCACTAAAGGAAAAGTTAAGGATTCACCAATTACAGTTCATTCTGAGGGCACTCGAATGTACGCACCAGATTTCATGCCAGTCCAACCAATAGCTTTTAGTCAAAACCACAAACATCACCTTTGTGGGAGTGGAAAGGTCAGGGGATCGCCAAAGTCGTCATGTTGGTCTGTCAGATTTCATGCCGTTTTATACAATAATTGAAAAAATATTTCAGTATGAATGGAATGACAGACAACATTAAATTCCCTAGCAGCTAACAATAACACGCAGTTCATGTCCAATTCTAATTTTAAGTCTACTGTGCATGTTGGACTGAACTTTGACCTTTGCTTTCATTTCACAGGCACCTCCACTGTTATTAAGTGAGCTAACTGGTGAGATACTGTTACCCAAGTCTTGCAACCTGCTTTCATTCTTAGTAACGCCTCTCTCTCTTACTCCCACCCACCTCTCTCTTTCTCTCTGCCTGAGCAATAGAGCAAAGAAAACAAACCTGCTTGTCTAGCTGCAACCAGGAAACCAATCAAAGGTTGCACCAAGAAGTCAAAGAGAGAGAGAAAGTGACAGCAAGAAAAAAGGACAAAGAATAAATAGCAACGCTTCAGGCCATGACAGAGAACATGTTTCCGTTGTGCTGTGAGTAGATGTCTTACCTGACAATGTAGGGCTGCTGTGCTGCTTAGATGTATGCATGAATACCGGTAAGGAGAGTGGTGTGTTAAACAGGGGGCAAGAAAACCCAGATGTGTACGAGTGGGGAAATTTAGGTGTTTGTGTCAGGTGTTTGTCACTTTCAGAATCTTCCTTCCTTTGTTTTAGGTTCACCTCGTGTAGTCTTGTTGCTGTTGAAGGTTTTTAACGGACCTTGTATTTTTGAACTTTCCTGAAATTCTGACAGAGGAGTGAAAAGCTACAAATGGACACCGGTGGCTGCTTTCAGTGGATGTGCTCAGCTTTGAGCGCATCTTTTTAAGATGTTGTAACTTCACATGCTGTTTGAGGAGGCTAAGATGAACAATTTTCATATGAAGCTGAAAACTCAGAAATCATTGTAAAGACAACAAATGCCAGCTGAAACTAACTCAAGCCCTCGAGGCAGTGTCAATAGCTTCTTTAATTTCTGCTCATAAAAATTCACACACGGTCAAACATGAAGCTTTCACACCTCTTACCATTGGACCACTGTTAATTACTGTCACTTCCCCCACACATGGACACAGACTGACAAGTTAGTTATAGGTTCACTTCGATTTCAAAGACACAACGGTGAAATAATGGCAGCAGCATGTTCAGGAGGCTCCAAGAGCCCCACATCAAGTTCCCAGTCACTTACCAGTGGAGATCGGCGGATGGTGGACAAGGCGCTGAAAAGACTAGATAAGCTCTATGAGCTGTGCACTAACCCCCAGCTGGGCCTCAGGTATAGTCCGCCATTCCTGCCAGAGCTGGTGTCTGAGACAACAGCACTGCTCACACAGGTATGGGAACCCTACCACAGCTCCAGGGCAGGAGGCAGCCAAATACCTAGGGGAGACGAGGCCAGCTACCTGAAGGTCCATGCTAGAAATCTGCTGGATAAGACGGACAAGGCTGTGTTGCTGTTTAAACAGGGACGGGAGAAGATATTTGATGAGACGTCTAGTTACAGGTAAGACACCTACATCAATACAGACACAAGAGAAGCATGTGTTAGCAGGGCATTTTGTTTTATTCTAAAATATATCTTAATTTTAAAAAAATGTTGGTATACATTTTTGTCAGGTGCTTCATTTATTAGTTCATTCATTCACAACTCTGTTTCTAACACCTAACTGTTATATGTTTCTCAGTGTAGAGTATAAAAATTCTCAGAAGTGAAACCTAATTTAATCAGAAATGCCAAAATTTGCTGGTTCCATCTTTTTGAATGTGAACATTTGCTGCTTTTTTGTATTGTGAACTGAACACTTAAGGTTTTGGGCTGTTGGTCAAACAAAACAGGCCACTGGCTCTCCAAACTGGCAACAGGCATTTTTCATTATTTATGGCCACTTCACAGACTAAATGATTAATTGATTTATCAATTAAATAATTGGAAGAAAATAATCATAAGTTGATGATCTAAAAATCATATTTTTGTTAGTCTTGATTTGTTCAAAGTAGAAATAAACATATTTCCCATCTCAGTGTAATAGTAGGTAGCAATGTGTTTTTGGTTTTATTTGCCACATTGAGATATTGTGTCTTATATTTCTGCCATCAGCCCACTACAGTGGATGAGTTTAAAAAGAATTTCATTTCCAGTGCTCACAGCATTAAATCGTTATTTAAAAAATCTATAGATAAAACAGTATATCTGTTGTTCTGTTCAAGTGACAGATCACAGTTTTTATATGGATTTCTCTTTCGAATTTCCTTAAAAACTGCTCAGCTAGATACCATCAGAAGTAACTGACCGGGTTAGGTTTACATTTCTGTTGCCATTTTTTAACCAGCTCAACCAAATCACGTTCTCAAATCATAAACAAATTCTTGTGTTTGACCTGACCTTCTTTAAGGCAAATACATTGACTGAAGTTTCACATGCCTCCGACCTTTATCTACTACCATGGGACCAGATCTGACGGGGTTGTCGCTCATGCTTATACTCCATTAAAAGTTCAAAAACCCAAAAATTGTCTATATTTGCATTTGTGTAAAAAGTCTAAACCCAGTACTGTGACAGTCATGACAGATGCCCTTTGAACATTAATATACATGAACTGAAATAGCCATTTTACCCCATCTATGGAAGCTGAAGCAAAGTAAAATAACTTCCCCTATTCCTGCAATTCAAATATAGTCTTCACTGTGTGTCAGAGAAAAAAAAGAATGAACACATTCTGTAAGTTCGCCATTTGGCTAAACAGATATTTTGGAACAGCTAAACAGAGTGACTTTATTTAGAGCATGCTGCCTCCCCTGCTCCTGTTGGGACTGCTAATGACGGAGAGGAACAACAGGCCTAACTCGCGTCTTTGTGATGCTAATGTGTGGAAACTAGAAAAAGAAAAGACTTCTGAATGTGAACAGTTTGGGGGAGAGTCCCTGGCCTAACATTTTCTAAGTGTATGTCCATATGGTTGTATTCACAATGTATTCATAGATGCTGCCGGCTTTTATTTTATTGTCTTCTAACTACTGTAGATGTGGCCTAAATACAAGACCAGAAATACACTCAATTACACTTATGTATTTAATGCAAATGTACCCTGACACCATGTAACATACAGGAGGGAGCACACAGTTATAGGTTTTCTTTAAAAAGGTACAGCAGCTAACATTCTGACAAACAGCACAACTTTGTTTGAGCTTTTACAATCTACTCTTCTACTTTGAAATGTGATGAAGACTTTACAATACTTGCTGGACCTTATTAAAAGCTATTGTATATATGTATATCCATCCATCCAAGTTCATAGTGTGAATGTGTGATCATAGGATGTTATCATTTTACACAGTTCTGTTGTTCAAAATATACCTAGTCTACAAGAATATTCTGTACACACAAGATAACAGATGGCCTTCTCACAGGAGTCATGCCCGCATGAGCAGTGATGTGACAAATTCACATAGTGTTGTGGCTTAGATATCATGACAAATTATGCAAATATCCTTCTGTGTTTTCAGAATGTACTGTCCTCTTTCTGTGGCTTGTTAAACCACAGACTCAGGCCAGTAAACCATATGTCTGTTTAATATCTTTCTCAAGGCACTTAACTCTTGGTTAGGATGGTTAAAATAATAGTTGCCCTTTAGTAAGTGACATTTCTGCCAGACTAACAAGAAACTTAAAACAGAAGTGAGAATAGACGGAAAGCCACAGAAGCAGACAGTTGAAGGTTTAGCAGATAGAAGATTGTTGTCTGATAATTTTGACCTCCTGTGACTGAAATTTAGAAGTCACGCATATACAAATGTGCAAACTTTGTTTCACATACATCTAAAACCATGAGCAGAACAACGTATGTTTATTAGTAATTACATCATTTAAGAAATTGAGCTTATTTTTGCTAATTCATATTTTTTATCACCGTTTACTTGTAATAGTATATTACAAGTAAAAGGGGTGCATTCAAAATGTTACTGAAGTAAGACTGTATACTTATCAGCAAAATACACAAATATTGAAAGTCAGGGTCGTTGCCGTGGAGGAGGAGCTAATTTTAACTACTTTGTGTACTTTCGGTTAGTTTAATATATAATAATGCATCAAAGCCCATCATGGAAAATCTTTGTAAATAATTAATATTAGAAATAATTATAACTGTCAGAAAAAACTACATTATTTCTCTCTGACTTTTGGTGGAGTAGAAGAATATTAAATGAAGAATACCCACACTGTGCCGTTTCATTCTCAGTTGATTATTCTTTAACTTCTACGCCAGCACAATGGAACACTTTGACTGCAAATGGTCTCCCTTGGATAGAGGAACCTCGTTGTTATGTCCATGTTGAAGTGAAAGAACAACCAACCTGGAACAAACAGCAGTGGATGGGTATTTTTCTTTTATATATTTTCACCGTCTAGGGTGTCTGGATTATGTGCCTGCCTCCTGAAGACTGTCCAAGTCTTTATATAAAACTAAAGTTCACATGCCTCAAATTTATATTTAAGTGTTAATGCTGCGCTCTGCAGCTGTTAATTGTGGTTTAGTTTTGTCACTGATAAATATTGTTATTGACACTGAGTGCATCATGTCCTAGGTGTTGGGAGAGGTGCTGAATTTATAGACCCAGAGATGGCTTCAGCATGGAAGAGGACGGGGGCCGCTGTACAAAATTTGAGTTCTGATTTTTTTTTCTCAGAATAACGGCTTTAAAATTTGAATTCTGACTGTAAAACTGACTTTTTAACAAAAGTCACAATTCTGAGAAAAAAGTCAGAACTGAAATTTTGTACAGTGGCCCCAGTCCTCTTCCGTACTTCGGGAACCAGGTGTAAAGTAAAATGATCACACTCTGCTTACCATTTCTGAAAATATATAAGGAAGCTTTCACTGGAGTGTAAGAAGTGCAAAATAGCCATCCAAAGTTGTGTTACTGAAGATTTCTCCCATTGTGTGCAGGAGTTCAGAAGCTATTCTCCTTCTCTGCATGAGAAAGTTTTTTTAATCAAACATGTTTCACATCAAGCTTCTTCAGGCACATTGATGAGAAATATACAGTCTCTAACAACAACACAGTTACAGTAAATGTAAATCAACCAGACAAAGGATGGCTGTGATGCAGTGCATTGTACAGTACATATGCAATTCAGTAAAAATGCAAACATTTTTGGACTTTACAGTAGTGATGCTGCACAATTTCACCTCTGTCTTTCTATCTCTTAAATGTTATTTTTGGCACCTGGCCCGCCCCGAGCAAGAGATGTGGCTTACACATTTCCTCCCAACTTACTCTCTTCTCTTCAACACAATAGAGGTTTTCTTTTCCTCCCTGAGGTGAAGGTCTTTCATACAATCAAATGAGCCTTTAGTCAATTTTGTGTGTGTAAACAAATCTGCAGAAGATGCAACAGAAATAATTTCCAAGATGTCAGGCAAAAGATAACATATGGTGTAATAAAGATAATATGTTGCCAAATTCAATAGATTGTACTGAGTAGCATTGTTATATTAAATTTAGGTAGCATTTTATCTCATATATAACAGGTCAAATGTAGCTGTATTTGTACTATAATAGTGCAAATACCATTGTTTGTGTGTTTTGGAAATACTCCTAATTAAAAATGGAAAAATATAAAGTATACTGAAGCATATTGCCGCATTTCATAGGACCTTTAATATAGCGTATACTGCAGAACATTTCCTGCAATCAAGTTTATGTCAAAAGTTAAAATCCTCCTGCACTCGTGTGTTTTGTTCATTGTTGTTTCAATTAAATGCTTAAACTTCACGGAGCAGAATGGGCCTTTTAGAAAATCAGCAGTTAAATATTTGAAACAAAAAAACTTCCAAATTCATAGGTTCTGGACTTTTCAGTCATGTATTGTAGGAGGAGACGTTAATTGGTAAAAAATAAAACAAAACACAGCATCAGACATAAACCTAGAGATGTGAAGAGTTTTTAAAGAAATGTAAACTTGATGTTGAGAATGTTGCAAAAACAAGTGTTAGAAAAATAAAATTGAATCAGTTTAAGTTTATAAAAGACCACAGTAGAACCTAGTCATAGTAAAGACACTAGTAAAGATTGGCATGAAGTGACACACTGGCCACTGGAACATTTTGTGGTATTTACAAACGAGCATGCAGCAGAGCGCATCCTGTTTGCTGGCTGGACTGTTTGTTATGTATGTATCTATGGAAAGTATCGGAAATGCATTGCAACTCAAACAGTACAATAAAAATGCTGTCATAGAATTTTATTTTATCTTGATTTTTACACTTTAATAGCCAGCTCCTAGTGTACGTTATACAACACTGCTGACTATGCCTGCCTGTTTGACACATGATTTCACACACCTACACTGCAAGCTGGAGTCCTAGCTCTAAGCTAGTGATACTTTATGTAAGTTATGTAAAACTTCAAGAAACCTAAGAGCAACAATAATAAACATGAGATAAAATAAGATTTATTATCCTAGGTCACTTTGAGCTCCTTGAGGCAAAGTTGTGATACTGGGCAGCACAAATAAAAACTGACTTGATAAGGTGGCATGTGAGATAAAGGTTATCAGTTTAGGGCTGAGAGGCTGCTGAGAGGTTGGGGATATGTATATGCACATTGAGAGCCGATGTACCAGAGTCAAATTCCTCGTGTCTCCAACACACCTGGCCAATAAAGCAGATTCTGATTCTGATTGTTGGCTCATAAGGTGGTCTTAAATATTTTTGGGAGCACAAACTGTTACCACAAACAAACCTTCACTCCTCCTTTGTTTGGTCACTTTTATGGGGCCAGAAAATATTTCTAAGCAAAGTCTATTTCTAGTTTTGCAAGCTCAACTGAAAGTCTGCTATATCTGTTACTCTCAGGAGGAACTTGACCAAACTGACCTTGCTGTTCAGTCACATGCTGTGGGAGCTGAAGGCCATGTTTCCAGGGGGATGTTTTCAGGGTGACACCTACAGGGTGACCAAGTCAGAGGCTCATGAGTTTTGGAGGAATTCATTTGGCAACAAGTTAGTGTGTGAATTTTTAAAAATGAAAATCTCAGTGTTCTGTGATGGTTTAATGTGTGTCCATATTCATTACCTGTTAACACTGTGTTCTAACAGGTGTGTAGTTCAGTGGAATACTTTTAAAGAGCAGCTGCGGCACGTGCATTCATTTGAGGAGGGGATGGAGTCCATGGCTCTGAAATCAACCATCGATCTCACCTGTAATGACCACATATCTGTGTTTGAGTTTGATATCTTCACCAGACTGTTTCAGGTGAGGATAAAGGTTCCAACTTAGGTAATAAACTGATTACTTAGAGGAACAGTTTGACAGCTTGGGAAATACATGTACTTACTTTCTTGAGAGCGAGAGTTAGATGAGAATATTGATACCATTTTCATGTCTGTACAGTAAATATGAAGCCATCAGCCAGTTAGCTTAGCTTTAAAACCAGAAACTCTTAGCCTGGCACTCTCCAAAGGTAACAAAATGCATAGATCCACACCTCTGAAGCTCACATCATATCCCATTTGCTTAAACCATACAAAAACTGTGGTGTAAAAGGAATGGCCCTTTATGTGGGATTATGTGCCAGACTATTTATTGTCAGGTCTATAAAGTCACTGCACCCAGATAAAAGATATTCCAGCACATACCTTTTTGCTTTGGGGATTATGTGCAATTCAGTTATTGTATAAATTAAATAAAAAATTTAAATGGTAAGCTTTAGAGGAGCTAGTAGATGCATTTTGTTAACACTGGACTAAGCCAGACTATCTGTTAACACAGATCTTCTCACCTACTTCTCAGCAAAAATGCAGATAAGCATTTTTCCCAAAAACATCAAGCTGTTTCTCTGGTCATAAAATATTATTCTTCTTTTAGCCCTGGAAGTCACTTTTAAGGAACTGGAACCAACTAGCAGTGACCCATCCAGGCTACATGGCCTTCCTCACCTATGACCAGGTTATAGATCGTCTGGAACACTACCTGTATAGACCTGGAAGGTACAGGAAGGATGAACAGACTGACTGGTGCCCTTCACATGAAACCTAAATTGAACTAGGTCACACATTGCCCAAAATTTTAAGTAGAACTGTAAGGGACACTGGAGAGGGCTGTTGAGTACTTGAGTTACATTAAATGCAGCAACTGATCTCAGCTGTAAAAATTAGCTCCTCAAATCAACATAGAATCACAGCACTACAAAACTTTTAAGTACATGACTATTCATGATTAAAGTTTGAAAATTTATGAGGGTTTGATTCATCTTCTTGAAGTACCTTATTAAGTATCTCTTTCCTCTTGAACTTCTGACATATTTATTTCATAATGCACCAAACTCTGGTTGAGTTTGAGCTTTCTATCTAATATTCAAGAAATTTTGTCTTTGTGACACTAAGTACAACTCTAAGAAGTTATGAAAATGGCAGCATGGCCCAAAGTGTCATACAGTGACTATTGGTAAACTGTATCAGTATTATTGCTATTGTAAGAATGACAAAAACTGTACAAATCCAGAAAATACACAGTACAACCAAATGCTGACTAAAGTAACAATACTAGCAAAAGAATCACTGACATCCACAATAACATTTAAGTGACTCATTAGTGGATTTTAATGTCTAAATTTTTCTAAGTTGTGATGTGATTTACAAGTCCCTTCTAGTTATATCTTCCGTCTGAGCTGCACTAGAATGGGCCAGTGGGCTATCGGCCACGTGACCACTGAAGGTGGCATCATCCAGACCATCTCTGAGAACGCACCTCTCTACCAGACACTCATTCAGGGCTTCAAGGAGGGCTGGTTAGGACAAACACACAGGTCTCTGATACGTTTGGCCTCTGTGCAGATTCTCTAAGTGCTGTGCGTTTCTGTGCCTGCAGCTACCTGTATCCAGATGGCCGCGATGTGAACCCCGACCTGACGAGCTTGTATGAACCTGCCCAGAGGGGAAAAGTCAAAGTTACAGAAGTAAGTGAATGCACTTTATCTGTTTATCAGTTTTACAACAGGCTGCCAGAAGCATCCTGAGGCTTTACCAAGCCAAAACATAGATCATATCCTGTTGTTTTCTGTCTTGTTTCTCTGACTAACCCACCACTACCACAACAGGAGCAGTACGAGCTGTACTGTGAGATCGGCAGCACCTTCCAGCAGTGTAAGATCTGTGCAGAGAGGGATAAGGACACTCGTATCCAGCCCTGTGGACATCTCCTGTGCCAGCTCTGCCTCACAGGTTGGCAGGTATAAACCCCCACCCACTTAATTATAGTAACTTATTGTATAATCTCTCCACATGTATTACAACCCACATGCTAATCTTTACCACATGCTTTTACTATTGTATAATCTCTCCACATTTATTACAACCCACATGCTAATCTTTACCACATGCTTTTACTAAACTAAGGCAGTTACCGTAACAGTTGTTGTGTGTTCAGTGAACTGAATCAGTCTGGGTACACTTAGCTCAGTTTTTTTGTCGGCTAATTTGACAATCAGCAATATCATGGTTTGGTTATAGCTCACCATGACGCGATGTTAAAAATATCTTCTGTGTATAACAAAGCATGCGAGTCATTTTAAGATGCTCTACTATACAAAATAACCTTCATAAATTGTCACTTTAAAATTACTGGGTGTGACTTGGCTAGACTGTGGAACAATGTAACAAAAACTTAAAAGCTGCTGTTGCTACACTAATCCTTGAGAAGTCTATTATAGTGTCTTCATGAGGGTGCTAGAACAGTTTTATATCCTATCTCTGTTTTTATAGTTACTCTGCATCAGCCAGCCTTGCTGAAACAACACAACATTTTATGAAATTTTCAGTACACCTGTGCTTGTGAATTAGGTTACGTTACGTCCGCAAAAACCAACTCTCCTATTCTCTCCACTCAGTTCATTTGTATAGTGCCAAATCATAACTAAGGGGTGATACAATGGCACCTTTAGCATGATCACATCTATAGACACTGATCAGCCATAACATCGTGACCACCTGCCTGTTACTGTGTACACAGGAGTCAGTGCAGCATTTGAATGGCACTTGTGTCACTCTGCAGCTCACTGTGCATCTTGTGTGAATCTGTTTACATCCATTGCTTTACTGTTGGAAAGAACAAAAAGGTGTCAACCATTCAGTGACAAGCTTATGTTAAAGGAGTGAAAAGTGTTAGAGATAGTTAGAGATAATTTTTAGACCAATTCAACAGCCTCCCCACACTGTGTGATATCATCACTATAGCTGCTGAATGTTTCTTCATAGAGACCAGTGTAGAGGATTTCTCATTTTCAACTATTTTAACAAAGATTCAAGTGAAATGGAATCTTCTGAAAAGGATGAATGAAATTTAAAAGTTTAATCTACAGAAGGTCAAACTCATTACCGGCGAGCCTTGGGCGTCCATGACCCTGTCTACTGTCTGTCCTTCCTTAGACCACAGTTGCTAGGTACTAACCACTACAGACAGCAACACCCAACCAGACCTGCAATCTGGGCCATCACAATTGGGCCCTTGTCAAAGTCACTGAGATCCTTGCTCTTGCCTGTTTTTCCTGCTTCCTACACATCAACTTCAAGGACTGAATGGTCACTTGCTGCCTAATATACCTTGCACACAGTGGTCAAAATGTTTTAACTGATCAGTGTAAATGTCAGAGAACAATATGCTGAATATCAGCGTGGTTTTTCATTGAAACCATTTGATCTTCTATCACAAATCCCAAGGGTTTGATTTGATTTTGATTTGATTTGATTTGATTTATTCTTTCAAGCATGTAAAGACAGTTGATATGTCAACACACATAATTTTACACATATCCAACAAATGCTAATCCAATATCAATTAGCTTATACCTAGTACATGCTTGAATGGAGTAGGAAGAAGTCAGACTTATCCAGTCCTACCCCATGACATCATCTTACCATCATTGGTTTGCAAGCAGTATCTCTACATAGATAATTCTCTTCTACACCACACAAGTAATATACTAAAGAATTATTACAAAGTATTAACATTCTTACACCACACCCACAATGTTCCATCTAATTAATCATTAAGCCTGTTCTTGCATATATCTTGATTGACACATACCTTTATATTTATGTTTAAACTCGTCAATTCTATTACAATTTTTTATGTCTACACTTAAATTATTCCATAGTTTTACCCCACTTATAGAAATACAAAATCTTTTTTTGGTTGTACGTATAGCATGAATTTTTAAATTTAACTGACCCCTTAAATTATATCCCCCTTCCCTTTTATTAAATAGTTAAAGGGTCTGTATGTAAATCATAATTTAGTCATGTGGTGTTTGCACCTTTTGTTTCAAAAGGGGGGCTTCCCTGACTTTCTACTTCCTCTTTTGGTGACAAAATGACATTGTAGACATCCAACAAGAATTAAAAATGCTGCTGACAAATTACAGTTTCATGCTTGACAAGTATTTCTTTCAGCCAGTGGTTTCCCATCTGTTCAGGCGGTGTTTATGTCTTTGCAAAGGTGCACAGCAGCATGTCCTGACATTTGGCTGAAGACTTCCTGTCTAAACTAAGGTTCACATCCTCCTCAAACTTCATTGGTCACATGCACTTTGATAAAAAAAAGATGTGTGAGAGCATGATTGAGAAGGAGACAGAGAAAGAGAGACATGAGCACAAAAAGAAATGTAGATATGCTTTGTGGATGTCAAACCACAATGAACAAGCTATAAATCAGTCTAGACTGTGATAAGCAAACTTTCTCTTCAGCAGTAAGTTTGTGTACAGTACGGTAGCTTTGATTACAATAAACAAATACCAGGGAGTTCAAAATAAAAATAATTCAGTCACACATTTGCAACTGAATACCTAGCTGTGTCAGCTTAAATTAGTTTTATTACACGACTTCTAAAACCGCGTGGGCCAAGAAAGTTTTGAGCACGCAAAATTATGTTTGCCCAAATTTTAGGAATCCCCTAAATGGCAAAATTAGCTAATAAATTAGTGCAAGAAGGCGAGCAAGTGGAAACAATACGTTAACATCTGAAAAGAGAATCATGATGAAACAGAAAGCTTGTATGCTAGAGCAATGAAAGAAAGTAAAATGTTACAACAATTCACCTACATCTGGTTTACATTTGTGGAAAACCAGCCTATAGTGTCTGCTGAACATGGTATTTTCCACCACTTTCATCTCTTGAAACACTGGTGGTTTATTCTTTGAAGCCAAGCCCAACATATTCCACTACATCCAGTTCAAAAGACACAAAGCTGTTCTCAAGGCAGCATGTGATAATGGGTCTTTACATTAGTGTAGTGTTTCCGTTACTCTATCCTTGACCTGTCATTGTTAATTATCTAGCAGAAGTCGGCTGGCAACACCTGTCCATACTGTCGCTGTGACATCAAAGGAACTGAGTTAGTACATATCGAACCATACCTGCCAAACAGCAGTAACTGGGAGGAGGAGGGCGAATATGACACAGAGGAGGAGGACCATGAGGACATTGAAGTGTTGGTAAAGGAAATGGCTGCCCTAAGGAAGGTGTGTGAATATATTTGTACAGCATATGCCCATTTGTTTTTTGAATCCTAGCCACGTTAGCAGACGTCAGTGTTGGTCTGTTGGTCAGTCTGATGCTTTGGTTCAGACTGGAAAAGCCCAATAGCTATTGTATGAATTTCCAGGAAAATTTTGTACAGACATTCATGATTCCCAGACAATGAGTCCTACACACTCAGTGATCCCTGAATTTCCTGTAGCTCCTCTATGAATTTATTTTTGATTGAGTGAAATGTCTGGTCATTTGATTTACTGACATGAAACTTAGCACACACATTTGCGTCCCCCTTTAACTTTGGTGAAGCACCTTAACTTGTCTTAAAATCCCATCAACAGGTCTTTTTTTTTTAATTTGTCTAATATTTGAAAAAAGCTGTCGCTCCCATCAGCCTGAGCTGTAGTTTGTGTTTAGTGCTAATTAGCATACATTAGCATGCAAACATATTAAATTAAGATGGTGAATATGGTAAACATTATACCAGCTTAATCAACAGACCAGCATGTTGTCATTATGAACATGTCAGCTTGCTAATATCAGCATTTTACTTAAAACTCCATCTCACAGAGCTGCTAGCATGGCTGCAGACTCTTTGTGTTGTTTCTGTGTCTTTGTCTCTATCTAAAACACTTTCAGTCTGCAGGTATTGTTGATGAGTGAGTTAACAAAAACAGTAACTCAACTTTTTTGCCAGGTGTATTCTTAGCCGACCTCCTGGTCTTCTCAGGTCAATGTAAAATAATGCTTTCCAATGAAGAAGGTACATGTAAAAAATACCCACTTGCTGTCTACTACAGTTACTTTCTCTCATACCAACAGTTCTCAAGTCTGGATTCCCAGGTTTCCAGCTCCTTCCACAGCGCTCCATCTGTGCCACCTAAAAATATCACAGTCCCACACTGTCCATTTCCTTCCAGCCAGTTCCAGACATCAGAAGCACTGGCCCAAGACTCCCACTTCAGTTCAGTAGGTTCCCAGAGACACTCAACCTATTTGCTGTGTTGTTGTATTGTATTGTGTCTTTGCAGTTTGATGACAGGGATCATTTTCTCCACTGCTTACAAACACTACACTGAGAAATGTTAATTCATGCACAGCACTGCAGGGACTCACCAAATGTAGTGTCAATGTGTGCAATAGCTGATGCCCACACAGTCTCTGTGACAATTATCCTCTCTTCACCAGGCTCCTGGTGGCAGTGAAGCACACAGAAGACACAAACAACAGAGAAACATGAATAGGTGAGACACGTGTAAAGCGGAGCAGCAAAAGGCATAAATTACTGTTGGTATCCACATGCACACAGGACCCCGAGGAGTATAAATTTGGGTACACTAAAGCACCACACTCTGACTTTGTGCTGCTGATATAAGGACCTTGACATTTTAGGTTTATTTGTAATCTCCCAGTAAAATTACTTCCCAAAGAAAAACAAGTTACATTTGAATTCACTGATGTGTGGTTGGTTTGCTTTGTCCTTGAGTATAATTATTATCGTGTACATGTTTTAATACATAATATAGAGTAATGATTTGTCTATACAATAAAAGATGTCATGTTGTATGAGGCAACACAAAGGAAGACCCATAAGCATGCAGACAGGCAGGTGCAGTCAAGTTACTTTAACAGAAGGTGCAGTATAAATTACAGGGCTTACAGGCAGAGGCAAGAACAGGCCCAGGTGGGCAATACCAAAGCCCAGAGCATGAAACAAATACCGGGATTGTATATATGTAGGGAGCTAATGAGCAAAATGGAAACAGGTGGGCAGATCTGGTAAGAGGAAATGGAGAACAGGTGTGCAGATGGATCTTGGAAAAGGAAGAAAGTCTGAGGACATCTGGTGGACGGATGGAGAGTGGCAAATGACTGCGGGGCTTTATAAAAGTGCAGGGAATGTGGCTACAGGGAACAAAGAGGTAGAATGGGCAATAATGATGGGATGGGGGCAGGAATTTTGACAATAATAATAAAGATAATCAGGCATTTTAACTGTGTTCTGTGCTACTGACTTCAAGATTCATTTTATTCTTATGTATCTTGACACATTTATTACAAGTAATACAAATATTTTCTGTACTAGCTGGTTGTAAGGCAAAAGTCAGTTAAATAAATTTTGATATTTGTTCAGTTAATTTTCTAATTTCACCTAGTTTTTTTCAGTTCTGCATTTTTTTTTTCATTGCAAATCTCACATATGTACAGTACATGGGACAAGATCAGCATATCATCAGTTATTCCAGAACAGCATAACGTGAGGAATATCAAATGTGCTGTGTCCTCCTCACTAGGTGTCAGGTGGAGTCATACAGCAGTGAGGAGGTAAACAGTGGTAGGCTGAAGCCACCTCTACCACACCCACTCTCCTACAGGTGATCACCCGCTGTCTCCTTTGAGACACAGCACAAGTATTTTTCACAGGATTCTGCATGTTTACACTGTTAATAATCATCAGTAATGACTTTTGTGCTGTGGGTATACAGTGGGAAGTTGATTTAATTGTGTCTTTAGCTAACTGACCTCTATTTATTGCTATGTTCCAAACAGCACTGAACACCTCCCAGAAGCAGCATTTCCTTCTTCATCCCACAGGGTTGTTGACAGTAAGTTTATGGCATGTTACAGTATAACAGTGTGGGAACTAAACTGTGAGATTATTCTACAACATACAGAAGAGCTTATCCTTATCCTAAAAACATATAATAATGGAAGCCAGTGGTTCCCTGACTTTTTTCTGTCATGTCTGATGCTTCCTTGGAAATCAGGAAAACATAAAACAAGTATAATACATAAATGAATTGTAGTGATAGTGAGAAAATTAATTGTTGACATAACATAATCATGACTATGCACCACGTGATTGTTCGCATCACTGATAATTCATAATCAACAACTATAATCTAAGGAAATGTTTTTTAAAATGAGCTTTTTCTCATTTTAAAATCAAATGAATAAAATTATAGAATATAATTGTGTAAAATCTCTCCTTTGACTTTTACACTCCTCATTTGAATAGCGCGCCATGCATTGTGCATTCTAGTGTGGCCTCATTTTGTGCCTGTGTGTAGGTGGAGCAGCGTGGCTCGGACCCTCCAACCCAGACAAACAGCCAAGACGACATAAAGAGAGGGAGGACAGGAGAGCAGGTGTCAGGAAAGACAAATACGGCCTGGGTGAGATGACAAGAACAATGTCATCATAACCAAAACAACAAAATCTGCAATATACTGTAAAGACTTTAAATTCAATGAGAAATACCTGGAAATAAATTATCTTCACTCAAGAAATCAGTCTCCAGTGAATGTGAAAATAGTTTGCGTCATTTTTAAACCGTAAATGACTGATGCTGAGATGCATGTGTGGCTCTGACTGAAAACTTGCCCACTGAGGCCTCCTACTGTTCAGTAATCACACACACCATTATCTCCTCAGTAGCTTCACTACTGATTCCTAAATATAGTCTCACACACTTTAATCTTTATAATTAAACCATTTTCTGAGTCTCTGTGCAACAATAGAAATAAAAGAAAGGTGATGTATAATATAGCTTTGGGGACAAACATGGGGGAGTGAAATCACATACTGCTCCTACAATGAATATATGAAAAAACAGCATGATGCTACCTCTTATACGTTATGCAAGTCAGTAAAGGGCTCTATATAATGCCATACTTAATACTGAAATCAAACAAATAAACAAACAAATACTTCGCCTTCAAAATAAATTCATGTTGTGCTTTTCTTCTCCTGTTATGGACATGAAAACAAACAGGCAAACAAAAAGTGAGTATACCAAGCATTTTATTTTATTTTTTGTGTTCTGGAACCTTTGTGTTGGTTCTGAATGTGTGAGGGAGAAAACCTCAAAGGAGACAAGACACCAGAAAAATAACAGTTGGCCCTGTAAAACAAAGCAGAGATGAGTGGTAACATAAAGGGCAGGGGAAAGAGGAACAAATGATTTCAGGGGTTCTTTGCCAGGATGCTTTGGATCCATGGGAGATACTCGCACACTTTGACGTAGACGCCAGGGTAGTTAGGCAGGGCACATCCCTGACCCCATGACACCAGGCCCTGGAGCTCTCCAAGACACACCAGAGGGCTGCCAGAGTCACCCTTACAAACACAGATGAAGTGAATGGGACCAGGTATGTGGTACACATGAATTTGTATACATATACAGTAGAGTACAATAAGCACAGTTGCAAAACTCACATTGCATGAGTCTCTACCACCATCCATGTATCCAGCACACACCATTCTGGGTGTGATCATGCCAGGATAAGCATTCTCACAGTCCTGGTCATCCACTATGGGCACATCCAAACACTGCAGACGGGTGGGCATATACACTGTAATAATCAGGACACAGAGATAGTCATAAAAACTTCTGAGATAGCTGGTAAATCCAGGAGATACATACGCTTTTATCAGAATGAGGCTATGTTTTTGTAATGTTAACCAGTCCCATGAAAGGACCAGAACCAACAGTGGTCTCCCAGTGTATCAGCCCGTCTGTGGTTCTCAGTCCCAAGCCCATTATTTCCTAGTGAAGACACAACAAAATGGTGTACTTTTTGAAAATAAAATCATTCCATGAAACAACTGCTTAATGTTATTTTTAAGCAGAAGTTACTCAAATATAAGGAAATAATTTATTGGGGACTCTTTTCAGCTGTGAGGAGTACTTACTGCACTTTATATGGAACTGTCTCAAAATAAACTACACCGCCCATGTTCATTTCAATGAGGCCACATGTCACCCAGTGCTGCCGTTTGCTTACTGACAGTTTTTAGTAATAGACACAGTTCATTGTTGATTTTGGTCTTTTTATGGGGGTTAGACAATGAGAAAAGCATAGAATATTGTCAGTCATCCTTTAAAGCTGCTATGTGTAGACTTTCAAAATGTCCAACCTTAGTGGCCCTGAGAGGAAATGTTAAAAAAGACACCTTAGCAGAGAGCAATGCATGCCACTCTCCCCAGATATGCACTGGTGGAAGTATTTTGATGCTTTACCTAAAAAAAAGTATTAATACCACAATAAAAAAACAAAACTTTTCCAAAGTTCTATTAGCTAAACAAACTTAAATTATTTAAAAAAAACAGAAAAATGGCCGTGAACATTATTTGAAAGGTGGTAACAATTCTACATATGGTGGCTTTAAGCATATTGAGTTTTCACACTATTTGTAGATGATTAAATTAAATTAAAATCCCTAATACAGTATCCACCCACCTTCACCACCCATGGCCGTGTTACCCCAGCCAGACACAGAGCAGGGGAGCCCCCCATATGGGCACGCTGTGGGCAGCGGGATGGGTGCGACTGCCTCGGTTACCTCCACAGGATGGAAGAGCTTGATCATCATGATGTCATAATCCAAAGTCCTGTAGTCATAACTACACACAGAGAAAATAGACTTCAGTTGTTTCTCTGCACAGGTGATCATTAACCTCTGCAAAATGGAAAACAAAAACTCACATGGGGTGGTTCATTTTGTTACTCACTCAGGGTGCCAGAAGATGGTATTTGTCTTCATGAGTTGCTCTGTACCCTCAAACACTCGCACGTCGTGTTCTCCCAGCATGATCTGCATGGCAGTGGGACTGAGAGAAGAGGTGAAACATGCTAGAAGATGTGGAGGCAGAAAAAGCTTTCAGTATTTTGTTTCCTATAATTCTACATTCATCTGAATCTAGTTTCTAGGCAAATACTCCACTTTTTATCTTAATATTTAACAGATGTCCTCCACGTATGGTCCTAGACTACTAAAAAACTTGTTTTATCTCAAATTGAAAAAAAAAGAGAGAGAGAGAACGTATGTTATTTGAAAGCAATCATTTCTACATCAATGCAAACTTACTTGTACCAACAGTGGGCAACAGAGAGCACCCACTGCCTGTTAATGAGCACCCCTCCACAGAAGTGGTAGCCATAGTTGAGGGAGGCCATGTACGGACGAGAGTGAGGCTCACACTCCTGCCCGCCAATGATCCGGCCGTTTTCACGGGGAACTGCCACTGTCACGAACAAATGAAGAGACAGAGAGCGACAGAACGCGGATGTGTGTTTCAGAGTTATATTTAACCACAACTTGCTTCATATTTTCCCAATTTTTGACATCACAGTACAAATATGTGCAAAAGTCTGTTGTCATATGTGTAACTATACACAAATATATATATATATTTATATCCTTGTAAATGTGTGCATTTCTCTGTCGTTACCAGCAGCTCCAACCATCAGCAGCAGAGCCAGCAGTTTCATGGTGTCTGGTGAATGAGCAGAAGTCACCTGGGCACACCCCAGCACATATTTATATCCACAAGTCCCACCATGCTCAGCCTGCTCCTCCCTTCTTACCCCTTTCTGTTGACTCCAGCTGTGTGCCCACACTGTTCTTGCTTCTTTGCACTAAGCGTCATCTTACTCTTATCATGCTCCCATATTCTTGTTTGCCAACTTATGCCCAGTGTCACGCAACCCTGTTGTGCCACCTGTGCACCTCATTTTCCAAAGTGGACCAAGGTCTCCGCATGGTTAACAGGTGTTTATGAATTCTGGATCTCTCATGTACAAGCCAAAGCGCACACACAGTGAAAACTGTTATAAAACCTCTTATGCTTAGAGCAATATGAACAAATGATAAAAAGATCATAGCAATACTTGCTATTTTTAAACAAATTCCTTTTCCAGACATTTTAAGAATTAAAAACTTGGTTAGAATAAAAAAATTTTGTGTTTTGTAGCTTTGCTTTGGTTGTAAAAGATGAGAGGTGAGAAAGTGGTCTCAGTAGCAGAAAAATAAAAACAATGCTCTACTGTTTTTCTTTGTCAGACAGAAATCAGTGGCCTCTAAGCTCTAATTTGTGCTGTTCAAGTCACTTTGTTATATTGTATACAACCACACAGGCTGGTTAAAAGAGTTGTGGTATTCATTTAGAAGTTGTATTACCAACTAAAAGAAAAAACATTTAGGTGATAAGTGTTGAAAATCTGTTACTTAGGTACAATCTCAAAAGCCAAAAATCAACATGGCACATAACAAGATAAGGTTACGTTTCAGGGCAGAGATGGGAGTAGTGGATAGATTCACAGCTGGGTGGGAGGAAGGGAATGGTTGTATGGAGGTCAGGACAGAGAGGGGGTGCATGAAACAACAGAGAGGGCTTCAGGTATAAATGCAGTGAGTGACAGATTGCTCACGTCCAGTCTGGCTACAGGAAGGCTCTAGTTCGCCACAAGATGATTGGTCTGGTTGTCCTCACACTCCTGGGAGCTGCAGGTAAAGCACATCTGAAGTATGTACAAAGATTTTACAAGAACAAACAATTTTAACGCTGATAAATATGAAGCATTTTGTATTTCCATCACACCAAAGCTGCAGCCCCAATGGATGACAAAATTGTAGGTGGCTACCAGTGTGAAGCACACTCTCAACCCTGGCAGGTCTCTCTCAATATTGGCTACCACTTCTGTGGTGGCTCCCTCATCAACAACCAGTGGATCGTCTCTGCTGCCCACTGCTGGCAAAAGTTTGTATTACATCACTGTATACAACATTTCTAAACAAACCTCATGGCCAGCATATAATTCTGAATAACTTGTTCTTTGTCTCTGTTTCAGCCCTTTTTCACAGATTGCAATCGTGGGTGACAATCACATCTGGATGCACGAAGGCACCGAGCAGTACATGTCAGTGGATGCCATCTACTGGCATGAGAGCTATGATTACCAGACCCTGGACTATGACATTATGCTGATGAGGTTGGCGCACCCTGTCACCGTGAATCAGTACGTCAAGCCCGTCTCCCTGCCAAGAGCTTGCCCCACGCCCGGGGACATGTGCACAGTGTCCGGATGGGGGAACATCTACACAGATCAAGGTGAGGTGCATCTGCTCTGGGTGTTAAAAAAGTCAAAACATTTTGCTCATAACAGAATATTAATTCTGTCGAGACCTTGTTGTTTTTGTCAACATAGCCTATAACCTGACAAACACACACGGTCTTCTGTACGTTTCAGCACATTCAACCAAAAGCTTCAATAAACACTAATTACTGAAATAGATCAGTCTGACTGCTGCCATATACTGAAACAGTGCAGAGCTGATGTGGACCACCTCTACTGGAACAACAACAACAACAAAAACCCATCTATCACAAAAATAACCACACTTTTATGAACCATTAACCTTTAGGGGAAAGCGTAGCTGTGTTATTGCACACAGCAAATAAATGATTGTGGCTATTGAGGCTG